TTGCATAAAGTTTTAATGCTTTAATTTTGTGATGGCATGTTGCTATGCATAACTGGTTATTGCATTGATGTGGTTTTTTTCTGTTATTTGTTTTTTTAATTATACATGTGTATCATGTTTTTTATGTGTGTATTGTCTTTATATATTTTGTCCTAAATGTACTGTATTGTTTTATGTAGTCGATTCACAAGCTCTCCAGAGCTTATGTTATTTGTAAATGATGCATATCGACTTTAAATAAAAGTTTTGACGTTGACTTTGTCTTTTGTTTCAGTTTTTTCGATTGGGTAAATTTATGTTTAAGAAGATATTGAAACTCTCGGGATAAAAACTAGAGGCTCTAAAGAGCCTGTGTCGCTCACCTTGGTCTATGTGCATATTAAAATTAACAAAGGACACAGATGGATTCATGACAAAATTGTGTTTTGGTGATGGTGATGTGTTTGTAGATCTTACTTTACTGAACATTCTTGCTCCTTACTATTATCTCTATCTATAATGAACTTGGCCCAGTAGTTACAGTGGAAAATATTTTGTAAAAATTTACAAAAATTTACAAAATTTATGAAAATTGTAAAAAATTTACTATTAAGGGCAATAACTCCTTAAGGGGTCAATTGACAATTTTGGTCATGTTGACTTATTTGAAGATCTAACTTTGCTGTACATTATTGCTGTTTACAGTTTATCTCTATCTATAATAATATTCAAGATAATAACCAAAAGCTGCAAAATTTTCTTAAAATTACCAATTCAGGGGCAGCAACCCAACAACGTGTTGCCTGATTGGTCTGAAAATTTCAGGGCAGATAGATCTTGACCTAATGAACAATTTTATTATCATCAGATTTGCTCTAAATGCTTTGGTTTCAGAGATATGAGCCATAAAACGGCATTTTACCCTGGGTACTATTTTTTAGCCATGTCGGCCATCTTGGTTTGCGGGCGGGGTCATCGGACACATTTTTTAAACTAGATACCCTAATGATGATTGTGGACAAGTTTGGTTAAATTTGTCTTAGTAGTTTCAGAGGAGAAGATTTTTGTAAAAGATTACAAAAATTTACGAAAAATGGTTTAAAATTGACTATAAAGGGCAATAACTCCTTAAGGGGTCAACTGACCATTTTGGTCATGTTGACTTATTTGCAGATCTTACTTTGCTGAACATTATTGCTGTTTACAGTTTATCTCTATCTATAATAATATTCAAGATAATAACCAAAAACAGCAAAATTTCCTTAAAATTACCAATTCAGGGGCAGCAACCCAACAAAGGGTTGTCCGATTCATCTGAAAATTTCAGGGCAGATAGATCTTGACCTGATAAACAATTTTACTTAGTCAGATTTGCTCTGAATGCTTTGGTTTCAGAGATATAAGCCAAAATCTACATTTTACCCCTATGTTCTATTTTTAGCCATGGCGGCCATCTTGGTTGGTTGGCCGGGTCACCGGACACATTTTTTAAACTAGATACCCCAATGATGATTGTGGCCAAGTTTGGTCAAATTTGGCCCGGTAGTTTCAGAGGAGAAGATTTTTGTAAAAGTTAACGACGACGGACGACGACGACGGACGACGGACGCCAGGTGATGAGAAAAGCTCACTTGGCCCTATGGGCCAGGTGAGCTAAAAAAGGATAATCTTTTGTGTCCTCTTTTCATGTCAATCAATAGTAACAACTCCGCATTACATGTACGCAACATTTTATGTTGAACCGCTAGACGAGTTCAATTAGAAGTGGTTTTATTCTTGTTAGCATTGAACGATACATAATTTTAGAAGTGTATTGCTTTATGTATCTTTAAGGGGGTAAGATAATTGTAAAGGTATTCAAAGTTATGTAACGTGTTACCTTAAATGAGTTTATTGTAAAAGAATACCAGAACAACTCCATTACTTGGAAAACCAGTGTGTTGAAAACCCGAAAGATCTTTTTATGAACTTTATTGTCTCTTGTCTTTTTTTTCTGAAAGCGATCTCAAGGTATTGATAAAGAAATCATACCGTTTTTGAATTTAATTTATTTCGATATCTTGTAATTTTGTCGTTATTATATAGGTGGCTATACCGAACATCACAGAAAACACTTTCTTGTGCAATGCCAAGTCTTGCGTATAAAGTTTCATTACTTAAAAGCAAATAACTTACACTTGTTAACAGAGTTAAAACTATAATTAGATAATCGATAAAACATATTTTAGGCAATGCAATCACAACAATGTAATTATCACAGGAAAAAGATATTTAAAGTGACACATTTTGAACCGAATGTTAAATTCTGTAAGTAGAATAATTTTAAAATATTTTAGTAGATATTTATTAATATCAAGCTTTAGATTTTGATAATGAGTAAATGACTTGAAATTTGGTCCGAAAAAGTTTTAATTATTAGTACTTAGTTTAAGAAATATTATTTTTGTATATTGCTATTATCATTATCATAATTATTCTGTTCTGTAAATAAAAGCAACAATAGTATATTGCTGTTCAATAGTTATAATTCGATTAAGCCAAAACAAATCAGGTTAACAAACTAAAACCGAGGGAAACACATCAACTATAAGAGGAAAACAAAGGAACAACAGAAACACTGAACTACAACAAAAGCAAACGCCAACATACATAGAACCGGACTGTGTGATTACAACTGCCATATTCCTGACTTAGTACAGGACATTTAAGAAAAAATAGTGGGTTGAACCTGGTTTTATTGCTAGCAAAACCTCCCGTTTTTATGGCAATGTTAAAAATACAGCTAAAATGACAACACTACGTGACAGGAATACAGTACAAACAAACACAAGAACACTTAGCACAGAGAAATACATAAATAAATAATATATTAGTACATTACAACATGTAAACCGCAGAATAGCAACGGACACCTCCCACGAATTTACGACAGCACACCAGGACACCACAAACGAAATATTAAAAAAGGGTAAAATAACAAGAATACCGAACTCCAAGGAAAATTCAAATCGGAAAGTCCCTTATAAAATAGCAAAATCAAAAGCTCAAACACATCAAACGAATGGAAAACAACTGTCATATTCCTCACTGTAAATTATGTTAAAGTTCGTGTTGTTTAGTATTTAGTTTTCTATGTAATGTTTTGCGCACTTTTTCGTTTTTTTTCTTTTTTTGGTTGATATTTTGCCATGGCGTTGTCAGTTTTTCATCGACGTGTGAGTTTTGAATGTCCCTTTGATTTCTCCGACTCTTATTTATTTTACATCTTTTTCAAATGCTCTGTAATGTTTTATAATTTTAACTTTCAGTAAAAGTGTTCAATTTCTGACTGAAAAAAAATATACATTGAAAAACCCAAACAAATATGATATTCAGGTGAAAAAATAAAGACTTATTGCTGCTTTTATGATAAGAGTTATTTATCCTTGCAGCTGGATACAGCAAACCTTTTTCACAATTCAATTCTAAAATTATTTATGTAAGGTATTCATTTCAATTATTGAAATATCATAATTTCTGTTTCCTTAGTTTCAATGATTTTCATTAATAAAGTTGATTAAAATTTACACAGCATCTGAAAATGATGTCAGATAAACTACAACAAGATTATAATTAAATTAAATATGAGTTTTTACAACCACTGGGTCAATATCACTGCTGGTGGACGCTTCGTCCTTAAGAGTTTCACTAACCAGTAGTCAGCACTTTAATGTTGACATGACATATAATTGATATGTTCATTTTCTGTAAATTTACTGTTCATAAAATGTTAAATTATTGAACACATACAGGATTTTCTACTTCCAGACATTGATTGCCTTCGCTGTTTTTTCTGAATTTTCGGTTTTAATGGTCTTCAACTTCGTATTTGATTTGACTTTCCATTTGTTTTTATTCGGACACCACTTATGAGTCTTATGTGCCTGGTATCTTTGAGTTTTTACTTGGTATATATTAAGGAACCCAAAAGGACATTCCTAAAGGTAAAAACCTGAAAATGTTCTGATAACTAGATGTACAGTTAAACGTATCAATAAAAAAAAGGAATGGAGCGTATAACAGCTGAGAAGATTCGAAAGGGGTAAACCCTATTTTACATTGGTACATTTTACAGTACTGGTTGGTCAGCATCGTTTGATTGTTTGTAATAGAATATGCTTCAACAAATAAACCCAATTAATATTTTCAAATGATGTATACATTATGATATTAATGGGATAAAAATAGAGACTTCATCTCTTGTCACGGGTTTTATAAGTATAGATTATAACATGCCCTTTTCCATATTAGCCCTGGTATCATCCCGAGACTCCCATATCGGCCTCGAGGCTTTAGCCGAGGGCCGATATGGGTCGAGGGATGATACCAGGGCCAATATGGAAAAGACATGTTATAATCTATTTATCACATATTTAAGTTCTGCAGAAAAGGGAAAAAAGTTCAATTATAACAATTTAATGAAATATAACAGGTAAAATCTTTTAAAAATTTTATCACAAAAGTTTTATCACATTTTCAAATTTAGTTTTTATCATTTACTCCATAGAAATTTATTGTCACATTTCCACTTATTTTGGAATATGGCAATACACAATTGCGTAATTCTCCGGCACTTTTTAACCACTCCTTTAGAATTTTAATGTCACTTTCTGTTTTTTTTCTTGTGTTAGCGTTTTTCATTTGCTCTACAAAGTCTGTCATTGTTCGCCGTCGTTAAGGACGCAATGACGTCACGTCACTTGAAATCAGGGCACAATAACCAATAACCTCTTTTTTGCCCCGGGCAATTTTGAGGTTATTGCATATGCAAAACCCAACGTATTCGTAACAAATATGTGATAATAGGGGTTATTTGTCCTTTCAACTGGATAAAAAAAATCTACTCACACTTAAATACGTAAATATTTATGTGAAGTATTCATTTCAATTATTGGAATATCATAACAATAAAGGGGGTGGGAGGGGGGGGGGGTGGTAATTTATAACATAGATATAATATTTTAATACATTTCATTCCTCAGAATGGCGACTAAACGATCAAGCAGTATCGACAGTGGTCTTTTGTCCTGCGAAGTCCAAGCCAACAGAGAAGAAACACTACTAAAACCAGTTTTCTCAACTCCAGATGACAAAAAAGAAAAATCTCAAAGAAATGAACAACCTTTATCTTATTCTAAACCAATGACACCAAAAGAACGCACTCAGAATGCTGAATATTATACTAACAGAAGAAGTTTCCATGCAGTACCTAATACATCACCCCCGTCTTCAAAAGCGGACTCTGATTCAGATCTTGGCATTGTACCTGATGTGACTAGGCTACTTTTAGGCAATAGACAGCGTAGATCTAAACATCCAACATCCCCAACATATTCAATACATATTAACACATTGTATGTGTACCAGAAACCCACATTGCCGGTTGAGAATCCACTGTATGGTCAGGTTCCCGTAGGGAAACGCGATGACAAACCTCCAGCACCTTGTGTGAAACCAGCTGGATACCAGTATGTTTGGCCGTCTACAAATAACACAGGTAATTAACCTTGTCTATTTGGTCTGGTTTCATGCCTTTTCATAAGAACTTTCATAATTACTTATTTGTTTTAACTACAAAGGGGTATATGTACACGGGATATCATCCAACAGACAAATACATTAAAAAAACTACACTTAAGATATTGATTTACTAAGGTTTCTGAATCATTATCCGTGTTGTGACGTCACACAAAAGTCATTAACGATACAAGTTTCCGAAGTAAGTTGATGATTAATTAGGCATTTATACATTCTAGTAGTTTTCATCAACTGTATATGTCCATTGATCTACTAGTAATTGAAAATTCAATAAATTTAGTGGGCTAGTATTCACCACTATTGAAATTTACTCTTTGTAATTAGGGAACAGGAACTTCTTAACCTTCATACCCTCTTAATTAGTTCAAACCGGTTTTTAGAGGGATTGTTGCTAAATGTTCAGTTTTACTGTGAATGCTTCGTTGGTCTCTGTTTCTTTTGACCTTTTTTCTTTGGGGTCACGATGTTGCATGACCTCCTCCAATTTATGATCGCCTGTACTATATACAAGACACTATTACCAATAGTTACTGGTTAACCAAACAACAGCTAATTTATTGATTTACGATTTGTGACTGCTCATTTGATATTTTAGAATTCCTTCATTACCAGATTTTATCATTATTATGTACTATATGAAGACCAATGACAGCGTTTTATTTTCTTAAATTACGTATCTGATATCGTTAGTTTAATTATGACACTAGGCCAGCAGTATGTGTATTCGTACTGGTGTGCTCATCTTGATATTTGTAATTATACATGTTCAAAAAGAGGGACGAAAGATACCAGAGGGACAGTCAAACTCATAGATCGAAAACACACTGACAACGCCATGGTCAAAAATAAAAAGACAAACAGACAAATAATAGTACAGATGACACAACATAGAAAACCAAAGACTAAGCAACACGAACCCCACCAAAAACTGGGGGTGATCTCAGGTGCTCCGGAAGGGTAAGCAGATCCTGCTCCACATGTGGCACCAGTCGTGTTGCTTATGTTATTACAAATCTGGTAAATAGTCTAATTCGGTAAGTCACATTCGTGAAAAGGGAGTGTACTGTTGTTACGACATAAGGAACATATCCGATATCATCTGTGAAACGGTTATTCCATAACGGTCAACCAACTCGTGATGGCGTCCGTAAAATTTACGAAGGGATGATTTCAACCTCACCATTTGGAACTCTTGCTTTAATAGCTTCCTTGTGAGCAGCAATCCTCTATCAAAGAAATCATGATAGGAAACACAAGCCCGGGAATACCGTATCAATTGGGAGATATATACTCCGTATGCAGGCGCTGCTGGAATGTTGCTACATAGAAATGGAAAGTTCACAATTGGGAAGCTGAAATCATCTTTTTTGTCGTAAAGTTTTGTTTTCGTACTATCAATACCGTTCGCAAATGAAAAAAGAAAAAAAATCAGCCAATGAAACTTACGACTCTACTATACAGAAGGACGATCGGAGAAATGTGTAAATGAAGGACGTAAACGAACTTGTCGTTTTGCGTTCAATTCATCAACACTGTCTCTAAATTTTATTACGATTCATGATATTTTAGAAACATTATATTCTTCAACCCTCAGGAGCAAAAAATCATAAATTTATTGTAAATCATCAATTAAGTTATAAAAAACTGACAGGTTAAAGGTAAACGTGTTTTTTTTCATTCCTTTATGAATTACGAAAATTATTATGATAGTGTTCCATTCTGGTATGATTTTTCCGATAGTTTTTACGATATTATACGGCAGTTTCTTTGTCCAATTTGGCCATATTCTCTATGCAAATTTTCATATAACTGATATTAACTATTTACAACGTTTTATTGTTTGATATTAATGGTTTTTAAATTAAATAATTGTTTATTCCATTCTTAATTCGTTCTTAGAAAAATCATTTTCAAAGGGATTTTTATGTGACTAAAATATTGCACTACAGTGTTTCATAGAAATACCTGGCGTGACAAGCAATGTTAATTCACAGCACGTATCCTGTCACGCAAACATAGCCCATCATTCAATCTTAAATTATATCATTTAATTTTTCCAACTGATTATAAATGCATGTGCTTTATGTCCTATTCTTCATTTTCTTATGGCAAACGATAAAGATTTTTGTTAGTGTAAAGCAGATATGAAACAGACTTCTCATGAGTATCATGCATTTCAAGTTATCAAATACATGAGAAAAATTACTCACTGAAATGAGAAGTAGTACACAAAACGGCCGGGGGGTGGAGGGGGTGGGGTGGGCTAGGGGTGTTGTGTTATGTTATATCAATTTTTATTCATACCAATGTAAACAAGTCCACAGCTAGATGGGTATTTACAATGAATGATTATTGAAATATTACTACTATTTCATCCTACACCACTCTGCTGAAAATCCAATTGAAATCTGTTGTTTAATATAAAAATAAGAAGATGTGGTAAAATTGCCAAGGAGACAACTCTTCACCCATCTAGGGAGATAGGTCAAATTCATTCCTCATCTTTGTGATGTGATGCATCCATCAACTTTTGATTGGTAGTAAATGCATCTTTCCGCCCTTTGTTGCATTTTTGTCGAGCCTGCGACTTTTGTCGCAGAAAGCTCGACATAGGGATAGCGATCCGGCGGCGGCGGCGGCGGCGGCTACGGCGGCGGCGGCGGCGTTAGCTAACTTCTTAAAAGCTTTATATTTTAGAAGATGGAAGACCTGGATGCTTCATACTTTGTATATGGATGCCTCATGTTACGAAGTTTCCGTCAGTCACATGTCCAATGTCCTTGACCTCATTTTCATGGTTCAGTGACTACTTGAAAAAAAAGTTCAGATTTTTTGTAATGTTAAATTCTCTCTTATTATAAGTAATAGGATAACTATATTTGGTATGTGCGTACCTTGCAAGGTCCTCATGCCCGTCAGACAGTTTTCACTTGACCTCGACCTCATTTCATGGATCAGTGAACAAGGTTAAGTTTTCGTGGTCAAGTCCATATCTCAGATACTATAAGCAATAGGTCTAGTATATTCGGTGTATGGAAGGACTGTAAGGTGTACATGTCCAACTGGCAGGTGTCATCTGACCTTGACCTCATTTTCATGGTTCAGTGGTTATAGTTAAGTTTTTGTGTTTTGGTCTGTTTTTCTTATACTGTATGCAATAGGTCTACTATATTTGGTGTATGGAATGATTGTAAGGTGTACATGTCTAGCTGGCAGGTGTCATCTGACCTTGACCTCATTTTCATGGTTCAGTGGTCAAAGTTAAGTTTTTGAGTTTTGGTCTTTTTTTCTAATACTGCATGCAATAGGTCAACTATATTTGGTGTATGGAATGATTGTAAGGTGTACATGTCTAGCTGGCAGGTGTCATCTTACCTTGACCTCATTTTCATGGTTCAGTGGTCAAAGTTAAGTTTTTGAGTTTTGGTCTTTTTTTCTAATACTATATGCAATAGTTCAACTATATTTGGTGTATGGAAATATTTTATGATCTATATGTCAGTCACGCAGGTTTTATTTGACCTTGACCTCATTTTCAAGGTTCATTGCTCAGTGTTAAGTTTTTGTGTTTTGGTCTGTTTTTCTTAAACTATAAGCAATAGGTCAACTATATTTGTTGTATGGAAGAATTGTTAGCTGTACATGCCTGCCTAGCATGGTTCATCTGACCTTGACCTCATTTTCATGGTTCATTGGTCAATGTTTAGTTTACTTGGTTAATATTAAGTTTATGTGACAGTTGTAATAAAGCTTTATATTTAGGACTATCAACATAATATCAATGATTAGTAAAGAAGGCGAGACATTTCAGCGTGTGCACTCTTGTTTCTTGTTGGTCCGCTTCTTATTGTGCGTGCTTTGGTCCCATATGATGGATCCTTATTCCATTATATATCTTACTAAGGAAATATAATTCTATATAATGCGTTTTTTCTTCATTCTTTAAGGACAGTTTTGTAGTTTTTATTTTTTTTCTGAATAAATCTTTCACATTTTTCGTTTTAAAGTGTACGTTTAAATTTTCAACCCTTTTTATTTGATTTAATATTCATTTATTATATATTTTTAAGTATCTATTTACTCTTTATCATATAACTGTACAATTCTTTTACTGATTTAAGAAGATGAAAAGCAACCAGCACAGCACCATGACAGTTTTAGCTATAACAATTCAAAACCTTCATCACTTCATTCAAGTTCGGTAAGTTCCTTCCTCACTGTATTTTTCTGTTTTATTGCTGATATTTAAGGAAATAATCCCTGGTTGGCGTGAATACAAAGAATGTTATTTCAACTCTTTTTGTCAGTTTGTTGTTCGTTTAGAAAATCCAGATTTTGGTTAAATTGCATTCCCTCCTTGTGTATTGGATGTACATTTCACAACTGTACGAGATACCATGTCAAAAGTATGCAGATATCTTGCAATAACTTGATTCATGATTACCGATTATTTTCAAATTTACATTATATAAAATTATGGGGATTGATAACAATGAATTCTGTCCATTTTTTTTTCTTAAAGTTGATAGCAAAAATGTACGTGTTTACTTAACGTGAAGTAAAATATTTATTTTGTATTGGATTTTGATTCTTTTTCTTTGTGTACTTATGAAAGCTCTTACGTGTCATGCAAACATATTTAACACTCCCTTACCTTTCCAAAAAAGTAAAAAAAACCTATAGGTCTGGTAACTTTTTCTGAACTAAGATGTTTTATTTATTCAATGCACGAAATATATGAAATATGTAATACGTTTGAGAAATTAATTCATATTGCAAATAAAAGTAATGATGAACACCATTAAAGTGCTTTGAATAGCTACTAGAATTCAATATATAACCATAATAAAAATGAATTACATGAAATACAAACGACGTTTTTGTTTGTTTTGAAGAATTTTGAAATCTTAGTAATATAAATTATAATAACTGAAGAATCTTGAGATTTATATATATATATATTATTTGCGTGGTACCTTAACGATATGTGTACCCTGTAAGTCTTAAACCAAACACAGAGGAGTTGGCAGTACGGTGTCTTCAAAGGTGGCGGTAGTTGATGCCCATTTTTTCCAATTCAGATTGAAATTGCTTTAATTTGTTAATTGTGCACCCCTACTGGCCGATTTGTTTTTGTACTCGTATGAAGCAGAATTCATTCAGAACCTTCTAAAAGACAAAAAGAAAAAGCACCTTGCGAAATTCTTTAGTTTTACTTTCAGATATATTGATGATGTCCTATCACTGAATAACCCATATTTCAGTCAGTACTTACATCTCATATATCCCAGTGAACTTGAAATTAAGGATACTACTATAACTAGAAAGACTGCTTCATACCTTGATCTTTTCCTCAATATTTACACAGATGGACGACTTCACACTAAAATCTATGACAAACGGGATGATTTCAACTTCCCAATTATCAATTTCCCATTTCTCAGCAGTAACCTACCCTCTGCCCCATTCGTATGGTGTTTTTACATCTCAGTTGATACGTTATGCTCGGTTATGCTCACACTATACGGAATTCATATACAGGAGTGTGCTCCTTACGCAAAAATTGCTCCAACAGAGTTATGAGTAGGAAAAATGACACTCCGTAAATTTTATGGACATCATCACGAATTGGTTGATCTATACGATGTGTCTGTGTCTAAACTAACTAACGACATTTTTACCACGTCTTAGATTGTGGTTTACCATCTACGTCGTCTGGTCTGCTAAGTAACGAACGTGACCTGTGAATTCGCATTGCTATACGACGTGCCTCGGTATTTATACATCAAACATTCATGCATTTAGTTATAATGTTTCTTGTGTAAGTCTTGTTGGATATTATGTTATGTCTTATCGTTTGTGGTTTGAATTCTGTATTTTCGGTACATTTCACATATGTCTTATTTGTCAGTATAGTCGAGTTACTCGTGGTTCGTCTACAGTGATTTTGTTTTATGTTGTTTGTTTTCAAGTGTGTTTACTGTTTGGTCTTACATGATCCAACAGATATTTTATTTTTATTTTCTATATGTATGTAAAAGTTAAGATAATTAATCAGCAATTTCATTTATATGTTTTTTTAGTTTAAAGCATATATATGCACAGGATTTTTTTGTTAATACATAGTTTTGATTTAGAAGAAAAACAGACATGATTAGAAAATACAAATAATAACACCATTACAAACACAATTCCATTTTGATATTCTTGTCATGGTAGGAAAATACATAAAATAACACCATTACTAACTCAGTCTTATATTCTTGTACGTGTCTACAATAAAACAAATCTATTCTATTTTTAGAAATTTACCTGTGTTAATATAAACGTCACAAAATAGCACGTCACTTTTTGTGGCGTTGATACATCATACATTAGTGTGACGCACTGTTTATAATTTGTTTGTGGTGTCCTGGTGTGCTGTCGTGGATTCATGGGAGGTGTCCGTTAATTTTTTGTTATTCTGTGGTTTACATGTTGTAGTGTACTATTATATTACTTATTTATGTGTTTCTCTGTCCTGATTGTTCTTGCGTTTATTTGTACTGTATTCCTGTCACGTAATGTTGTCATTTTAGCGGCATTTTTAACATTGCCATAAAAGCGGGAGGTTTGGCTAGCCAAAAACCAGGTTCAACCCACCATTTTTTCTTAAAATGTCCTGTACCAAGTCAGGAATATGGCAGTTGTTTTCAAATAGTCCGGTTCTATGTATGTTGGCGTTTGTTTTTGTTGCAGTTCAGTGTTTCTCTTGTTCCGTTGTTTTCCTCTTATAGTTGATGTGTTTCCCTCGGTTTTGGTTTGTTACTCGGATTTGTTTTCGCTTAATCGATTAATGACCATTGAACAGCGGCTATTGTTGCCTTTATTTAACGATTTACTTTTCTGGATAAAATTAATTTAGATTAAAAAGATATGAAATGTATCACCACACATAGAGACTCTTTTTTATGTAGGCTTTGTAACAATTATTTTTGTGAGTGCCCAAACTTCATTTTGCCATTTTGACATTTTATAAAAGTTTTTCCGTTTTGAGTTTGGTATTTTTCTTATTTACATTTTCCTTATCAAATGGCAAAATCAAAAGCTCAAACACATCAAACGAATGGAAAACAACTGTCATATTCCTGACTTGGTACAGGCATTTTCTTATGTAGAAAATGGTGGATTAAACCTGTTTTTTTTGCTAGCTTAACCTCTCACTTATATGGCAGTCGCATAGAATTCCAAGAACTAGAACTAGAACGTCTTCTTTATATCTTGAACTCTTCGTTTAATATACATTTATGAAAAGACTTCTTCACGATTACGGTTTGCTGACCATTTCGTCAGAAGCTTTTTTGACTTCCATTAAACTATGGTGTACTTAGATAGGTCGATCTTTTGTTTTATTGTGTATTTTTCAAACGATTGAAGATACTCTTATCGAATCACACAAAGCTTTCCGGAAAAGAGAGAAAAAGTACTGACATGATCTTTTATGACCGTCAGAAATGGAGACGGGCAAACATTAACGCACCAAAAAATGATGTTTGAAACCCCATAGATTGAAGAAAAAGTAAATACAAAAAAAAGAAAACCACTGAAAACTAAGTGAAGTGGGTTGGCTCTTGAATGAATTATCCAAAAAATAAATACCCCCATTTAATCACGGCAAGGTCAGGTGTCCAGAAAGGTTGAGCAGATCCTATATGAAGAGCGGCACACTACTGTTGTACCCGTCATATGCTGAACATATCAAAAGGAGGAGATATGATAAGAGCCATTATTTGGTCTCTATAATTGCAAAATAATAAAACCATTCTTACCTTACAAGCATCACAAAATGCTGTTAGTTTAAACAATATATTATTTTTTTTCTAAAAAAAGTGCACAAATTCCAGTTTTTCAATAGAAGAAGAACGTATATAAATCCGTCTCCCTTAACAAAATGACAACATTAGGAACATTAAGAACATGTAGTGTAAAGAAACCTGCTTTAATATAATTTCAATTAACATCAGATGTTTATTTTGTGGTTTGCCCGTTACTCAAAAAGTAAAACAACAAACGTCAGTTTGATCGAAAGATGTGATCAACCCATTTCTAATTGTGGTCTTAACTGTGAATATGATATGTATATGTTCCACAAAATAATGTTCAATTACAATGTTTCAAAATCTAAATCGACGTAAAAATCAAAAAAATTATAAACCAAATCCTACTGTTTCCAAAAGAAAACTTTATACACCTTCAAAAATTATTTACGTTTTCCTTATCACTGAGGAGTTCGCTACCTGATAATAGTGTTTGTATATTAACATTTCTTGGTAGTGTGGAAATGGTTTGTGCCCTAATAAATCTTTAATTTTAACATTCTAGCAGTCAGTGTTTGTTGCATTCGACCTGTCCACATATACAGAGGCTGGAATGAACAATATTTTTCTTGAAAAATTGTTTATTTAAGGCCGTGTTCACATCAAACGTCACGTACTGTAAACATGTTTACAATTAGTTTCATGTAATGAACACTGGTTTCACATTAACTTTGTTCTCATCTGTACATCGGTTTTAATTACCTGCACCTGACAATTGTTCACACCAGTAAACAACATGTACACGTAATGTACATGTACATTACATATAATTGAATTAAAATTTCCTCTGTAAACATATTTTTTTGGCAGACCAATTCATTTTTTTTTAATTTTTCAATATCTTATTTTAGGAAAGGGGAAGGGGCGGAAAGATAAATTGTTTAAATACATTTTTTTAAAGAAAAAACATATTTGTCTCATGAGGGAAGAAGAGCGGGGGTTTCAACATGGATTTTTAAAAATGTTCCTGTATGTTATTGAAAACATATGGATGTTTTTTTTTTATTAATGTAATGAAAAAATGGTTTGTCCCACGAAGATGAATGGTCGTTACCGTATTTATTTAGAGAACTTTGAAAGTTATCATAATGTCACGATTATGCAAGCTCAAACAGTGTAACAATAAGGAGAAAAAAAGTATTTTGAAAATGATTGATTGATTTATTGTTGGTTACTTAACGTCCAGTGACAAATATTTCATGCATTTTGAGGACGATAACAAATGCGCAATAAATACAATAGGTAGGTCCTGTAATAGAGGCCGTCCGAGATGAACATCGGGGCAATTTGCAGTGCCATTTGAAAATGACAGTATATTGGATAGAGACAGAAATTTTGCCTTGCA